GTTACATCATAAGCTTTCCCAACCACTATTTGCTATTCTTTCACTTACCAGTCTACTATTTCAACTTCCACCCACAAGCTCAATCCACGGACTGTCAGAGTGTAAAACTCCCGGTACTTCTTTTTCTTTTCTCGTTTGAGTCTACGATCAGTCATTATGTTCACTTTTGAAATCCCCAAATCTGCTCAAATCCAACTCTGCAGTTGAGGTGCTGCTCCACATGACACCCGGTATGTCAGGATAAGAACAACCATGACAAACCCTGTCAAAACTAAACCACAACGCTCAGGTGGATTGTCTGAACTACCTGCTCTCTGACCACTTTCCCTGCTCAGTTCATCTTCTCACTCCCCTAGAAAGCATTTCATATCCAACATTTTCAGACATCTGGATCTTAATTATCAGTGGGTGACCCTGTTTTTCATGTCATTTAGAAAGTAGAATGGTTCCAAAGTGAACGCTTCCATTCTCCCCTAACCAAATCTTCCGATATCTTTGCACATTACAAGTGTCTTCCCTCCTATTATAGTGAAAGGATAAAAAGCATCCAAGGTGATTCTGAAGAACAATTAGGAGAACTTACATTCTAGACCAGCAATTCTCAACCTGTGGCATCACAGCCTCTTTGCAGTCTAGGGATCCTTTCATAGGGGCCATTCATCTGATATCCTGCATGTCAGATTTTTACATTACAATTCATAACAAAATTACAATTATGAAGTAACAATGAAATAATGTTGTGGTACATTAAATACTGTAGTAAAGGGTCACAGTACTGAGAAGGTTGACAATCTCTGGTGTAAACATTAGTATTTATCACACAACTATGTTGAAGTGAAGGCACCACTGGAGAACAGAACAGTCATTAGAACAGAAGGGTCCAGAAATGGACCAAATTTAACAGTTGGTGAAGAGGATTTCTGCAATGCTATGGAGAATATGTAGCCTTAAATGTTGTCTCTCTCACTACACACTCAATGTGTGTGTGTGTGTGTGTGTGTGTGTGTGTATGTGTGCACGTGCACTCATGTGCCACAGCATGCACACCCAAGGCATGACATGTTCACGGGGATCATAGGACAATTCCTGGGAGTCCTTTGGGAGTCAGTTCTCTCTCCTGCCACCTTGTGGGTTTTGGGGACTGAATTCAAGTTGTCAGGCAAAATGGACAGACAAAGAAAAATGAATAGTTTGGAACTCTGGTTTAAAACTACATAAAATTATTTCCAGTTTATCTAAATATAAAGAGAGCAATATAAGATTTAGGAGGAAAAGCCTATTATGATAATACTATATAAGAAAGATTCCTAAATAAGCAAAGGAAGGAAAATAACATAAACTGAATTACGATAAAATTAAAACCCAGTCATTAAAAAACACATTACTGAAAGCAGGGAAAAAAGCCACAGAGTGGAAAATTTGTGCAGTACAAACAGCTGACAAGGGAGGAGATTATATAAATAATCATCACACTCCATCAAGGAATGAATAGTCACTTAAACAGGAAAAGGGATGACGATTTGTATGAATACTTAGTAAAAGACACTCACCATACAGCTGCAGTGATTGATAGTTTGAGCTCAGAAGTGATTGTGGGATGACTAATCCCTAATGACCAACCTACCTCAATTGGTCCTAGTTTATATTAAGAGCATGCATAGTAAATACTTCCTGAAAGCCAACCTAGGTCTGCCTGAGGACCTTGACAAGAGCAGCCTCCTCCGCCAAGGGAGACTCTTGGCATCCTGTAACAAGTAATGACTTTGGGAAGTGCTGAGCAGTATCTACACAAACTGTACACACACATGCCTGTACCTCAGCAATTCTACTCGATAACGCACAAGAAGAAATCAAAAGTATGCTCATCAAAGCACAAATACATTTTTATGGCAGCATGTTCATAATGGTATCAAACTGGAAACCACCAACATTCTTGATGATGGAATGGATAAACACATTTCAGTATATTTACACAATGGAACACTGTCCCACAGAGAGATTCAACAAATTACATCAATAGGCAACAGTATGGAGAAATCCACAAGAGTGAAAGCACTGACTAAGAGAAATTCAATTCAGATTGCCTATCTATCTTTCTTTAGGTCTTCATATATACATGTTAAATGTTTGTAAGACCTGTAACTAAGAAACTGTCATCATGGTCCTCTTAAAGAAGTACTGCTATGTCTCTGGGCTACCACTTGGAACACTTCCTTAAGAATAATAGTTATCTTGGAACTGACTGAACACAGGTAGTTATTTTCTCAATTAGCCTTCATGCCATTAGATCAACTATGAACATCGGTTGACCAAACTGTATTATTACTCCTCTTAGACTCATACCAAATCTATATAAAACAGGAACAACAGTAGCAGCTATATTACAGAACTGTTGTGAAAGCCAAATGAGATAATGTGTATAACCGTGATCGTTTTGTAGATACTTGCATTTAATACAGATGCTTTTAATTTAGGATATTATGTCAGAATAATGGGACATGCTTATAAAATTATTAGTGATTTCCTGACAGACTCCCATCGTTGCTGAAGCTGAATGGTGGATAGGCCTAGGGATTTGTATTTTGACTGACATTTGAGGTGATTCATTCTGCACATTTGAGTTTGAGAACTACCACCTAGAGATCAGGTTTCCTCAACTGTTCACAGTTTGCAGTCAGCAGTCTGCATGCAAGGACTGCTTTCTGATGACGACTGATATTCAATGTTGTCAGAGTGGTATGAAATAAATTATAAAAGCAATCTGTTACAGATCTGTGTAGCATAAAAGACAGTTTCATGTTTTGATTCCAAAAAATATAAAAAGGAGTGTTGTTGTGTGGTATCAAAGTTAATTCAGCTCCAGTCATTATAGTCTTTTCAAGTTGTAAAGATATTTGACTCCTCTCACATTTCACATAACCTATTTTCCTCTTGAAATAATCCATCCCACAGGGATTTTTATTGCTCCCTTCCTTTTTTCTTTAGAGTATGTGGAAAGCACGGCCATGTTCTCACAGGCAGGATAAGCACCATATTCTCTGGGCCTGAAGTATTTGCATTAGGCCCAGAACTAGACACCCATGACCACTTTCTTACATATGTATTCATCTATAGGAAAGTCCAGAGAAATTTAAAAATTAGATATCTCCCACTACTTAACTCAATTAAAAATATGTATCAAATCACAGTAGTTATTTGAACTTTTCTGGTCAACAAAACAATTAAAATTTTAGTGGGAAACAACAACTTCTCATTGGATATTTGCTTGTACTGACAAAGCTCAGTCAGCCTTTGATTAAAGGGCAAAAGCAGGAGTTATTTCTGTCTTTATTTTGTTCCATCTTATTAGGTAAACGTCAAGGTAATGATAAAGGTAGAATATATATATATATATATATCTCCATATATATTATCACTATAAGATGTTTAAGACCAAGTGTTTTCACTCAGTGAAAAGCCTTGAACATACTTTATTGTGTAAAGTAAGTTCATATAATTCAGTTTCACTTTTCCAACTTCTGTTGGCTCTCTGTGCAAATTCAAATTCTGTAAATCAGTTGAAATGTCTTTATGACATGTTCAGTTCATGAGCCAAGGATAAGGATGTCTGGGAATAGAGATGAAGAACTTAAGCCCAGGCCACCAGATGGGCTTATTTTTCAGCCAACGATTGCTCTTTTGTAAATATCAAATGCTCTTCACTTTATGATGCAACAGCTAACACCGGAGATGAATCTGAAGACCTGTCCCTCCTCCCTTTTCTCTTCTCCCTCCTCTTTTCCTTCTTTTATTTTCTGTTTCTTTTTCTTTTTTTTCTTTTTGAGATAGGATCTCACTTTGCAACTCACTATGTAGACATGGCTGACATCAAATTCATCAAAGTTTGCCTGCCTCTGCTTCCTGAATGCAGGGATTAAACTTGTATGCCACCATGCTCTTTTCTCCACCTCTTTTCCTAAGGCTGAAAAAATTTTTTTCTTGTAGTGATGTTAAATTTTGACAGTTTGTTAAGCAGTGGAAATTATGCTGTAAGCAAAAGTCTTCACAAGAGAGAGATTCCTATAAAACACTGTAGTCTTAATTTTTCCAGACTGGTTACTGGCTACTCTTACAGGATCCAACTCCAAGAACAACTTCACTTGACCCAAGGGTTCTCTGCCCTTAAACCAGTAACACAAGGTTTACAGACTGAAGTCATGAGGTATTCAAGATAAACTTGATCTTTGAACCCACTGCTTTACCTGCCTTCAAAACTGAATTTGCACCCTGAAAACAAGTTATAATCATGTAAATTCTTACGAGGCAAAGACAGAAAAAGGTATGAGCACCTTAAGAAGATTTGCTTTTTAGTGGACTGCTGACAGCATTACACACATTTCTCAATCCTCTGTGCTGTGACAGTTATTCAGACTTTTTCCCCACTTGGGAGAGGCAGTAGCAAATTCCACTGAACTCCACAGCACCTTGAGAACTTTCCTGGCAGTTAGATAAGACACCATAAGAGAAAACCATCCCACAATACCCTGGCGGAGTCATAGTCCACATCTGCCGCCTTTTCTCTGCTTTTGTGGCCTCTGTTCTCTCTGTGATAACCTTGGGTTTTGTGTCAGGCTATTCTAGATTTTGTAGCAAGCTGAGAGTTATAAATAACACCTTGCTCTGTGATTACTGTTCTGATACCTGAAACAAAAGGCCAACACGCTTGAGGATCAGAACGGATTTGGAAGCAGCAACCATGGAGTTCTCTGGTTGGTGGATGAATGTAAAAGCCCTGACACCATTCAAAAGTTCACAGCTAACTGTCAAGAAAAGGCAAGGGAAGAGAGTAGGACCTGGCTACTAACATTAATATTGAGGGACTGTACATCACTCATCCATTCAACTGTTCATTCATTGGGTGGTCCCCGCCCCCATACTTTGTTTCTCCCTTAAATGAGAAACCTGTTTTAAATAAAGGCTTAAGATGTTTCCAAATAATAAATAGAAGTGGTAACACTTACTTTCCTGTAATAAACTGGCTCCTGGACGGTGTGCAAATAGGCTGGACATAGTAGTTCTCTAGTTTAACTCCTTCTGCAGCGAGTTTGTCAAGAGTGGGAGTTTTTATCTCAGATCCGTGGTAGCCCACATCCCTAAATCCCTGATCATCAGCTAAGATGAAAACGAGGTGTGGCTGGGAGGTGCCGGTTGAGCCTTCTTCAGGTTTCTCTCCAGCTTGAGCTCTCAGGGGTCTCTCCTCTTCTAAGCCCTGGCTCCAGCACAGGTAGCCATAGGTGAGCAGGGGGAGGACCCAGAAGCCAGCCAGGCCACCCATTGCCACTATCTTTCCAGGCCACGCCCAGCACTGAGGAGGTGGAGGAGGTAGAGGCTCCACGCTGTCCCTGGGGGCCATTCACTCGGGTCCCAGCAGAGACTCCACACGCAGAACCCTGCCTCTTTTGCTGCTGCTAGCACACTCATACATGCGGAGGAGGGGTAGCTCCAGATGAAGGCTGCAAGGGAATCCTGCTCCCTCCCAGCTGTCACCACTTCCCACAACTTCGGTCCTCTGGAGGTGATGGTTTAACCCTTGGATGCTAGAAGGGAGAAGGTCCTTTCCGCTGCCAGTTTGTATTTTTTTTTCCTTTCCCAGGACCGCGGAGAAAGTGAAAAAAAAAGTTTGTTTCTTCGATCTCCGCCCAAAAGTTCTCACGAAGAAAAAAAGAATAAAACAGAGAGGAACTTAAGCCGCACAGGACAGGAATATTTGGTATTTACATAGTCCTCCACTTGGTCGGGGAGTAGAACTGTGCCCATGCGCAGGCAGGCAGCAGGGGTAGAGGGACTGGCATTGGTCCAGGAGCCCCGGCACTCTGGAAGCCTTGCCAAGTTGCACTAAGTGACTCCCTGCTTCTGGATGGATGACAGGCTGAGCCTAGGGGACCTGCTTCTGGCTGGCTGCCTTGCCCACTTAGTCAGGGCTATTTCCCCATCTTCAGCTGTGCCTTAGTCAATCTTTCTGACTCCTTTCCAGGCGGCAGAGTGAGAAAGGATCCTGTTCTAGAGCCGGCCTTCCCACCTCTTCAGCGATTCTTTTTCTGCCCAGCAGAGCTTCTAGACACTCACGGGGTCCCAGACGGTGATCGACAGCACAGGCGTCCCTTGTGGGTGCTGCAGCTGCACAGATGTGAGCTTGGGTCGCTGACTTAGTTCTGGTTCTTCTGTGCCTTTCCCTCTACTCGCCAGGCAGTTGCAGCCACAGCCGGAGATCCATGCTTGCTGGCTGAGGGGCGGGCCCAGTCCTGGGAGGCGCTGGCTCTCAGCCCTCCTTTCTGCTAGGAAAAGGATGGACCTGGAAAGGGCGGCTTTGCTTTAGGGCGTCTCCCAGGGGTCCCTAGTGCGGACGTCCAGGTGCAGGTCCTCTTTCCATGGGTCTGCGTATGGACTCTCTCCCTGCCCATCCTGAAACTTTGGTAGCCAAGGGAACGAATGAGAGGAGAGGAGAATCAACAGATGACACAGTACACTCTCTGGCTGGCTTTTCTTCATTGCTCCCTCCCTTCCTATCCCTCCCTGCCTCTGCTGCTTCTTTTCTGCTTATTTTTCTGACAGCCCCAACTACAACTTTTAAAGTAGTGCTTCTATCAACAGTTGACCTTTCCAATCTGATATACCCCTTACTCTCTTCCTAAGAGAAGATGTTAAGAATGTAGGTTTGAGCTTTTCTTTTTCTTCTCCAAACTTCCAGGATTTTTCCCACCAAGCATGTGGAGAGAGAAAAGGCTTACACTCTCAAAAAACGGGAGCCCATTTGTGTGTACAGTTTTGAGACAATTTCATGTGCTGACCTAGTAGTCACTGTGTACCTAAGGATGACTCTGAACTTCAGATCCTCCTGCCTCTACTTCCCCAGATTCCTCCAAGCCAGGTTCATAATGTGTTAAACCAGTTCCCCAGCACTCAGTCAGCTGAGCTGTGCCTTTGCATTTTTATAGCAAACATTGTTTCCTTTCCAGTATCTTGGGGTCTTCTTCCTTCCCTCTCCCTCCCTCTTTATCTTCTCACTTCTCTCCTTTTTCTTCTTCCATCTCTCTCTCTTCTCCCCACCATAGAGGCTTCTTTACCTTGAGGAAGTTTAACTTTTACTAAAATTGTAGCAGTTTAAAACACTTCTCAGAGGCAGCATTTCTATGGAAGAGGCAGTCAATGTCAAAAGTCCTTGAGATGTTTTTAGTTTTTTCCGTCTTTTTCCTTATTTGCTTCAACACTTACTCACTGAACACCTACTGTGGGCTGGCATACACATGTTAGACTCAGTTAATGGCGAAGCCATAATTCTAAGTTTCATTTAGCTGTTACTTTTAATTCCCTCCTGTAACTACAGTTCCTGTGGAATTCACAGGCAGTCGGTGAAGTGGAAACTCAGCCTGGAAGACAGAATGCTGCTTCATGTGGCTAATTCTGCAAACACATGCAGGCCATTATCTGGTTGCTCTGGGGAGAGATGCTAACATTTAGAAGATACATTTAGAATTGGGAGTAGTAATTCTGTGAGTTTAAATTTCCAAACTTACAAGGAAAGTCCTACTGGGGATTAGAGTACAGAGAGTCAGGACTCCAGGATCCACTGGCCTAATGGGATGCTGGAGTGGAAAAGATTCAAACTCTCCAACAGACCCAGCTACTTTTAGTTGGAGAGCTGGTGAGTGAAACAGAAGAAGGATTGCCTGTATTTCTGTGTGACAAAGACCGTCAATGCCAATGTATATTTCTGGCAAGTATTTTTTTAAGCCAACATTTCTGGACTATTTCCTGTGCGCTAACCATAGTACCCTAGACACTAACACAGATATGTACACTCGTGTTCTTCTAAGTCTTATGTGGTTAGTGCCTCATATACTTTATCATTCTTCACCAGCCCTGAGGAACATTCTTCCATTCCACAACACTGGAAGAACTGAGCCAGTAATATCAGTGGGAAGCAAGGAGTGAACTAAATCAGAATGTCTTTGCTCTGGTAAAACCTGTACTATGGTAGGAAAGAAACATCCTGCTCAACTACCACTCCCAACTCCCAGTTGTTACTATGGAAAATAAGCCTTCTGGAAAAGAGGAAAAAAACTCAAATAAATCACAAAACAAAGACCCTTGGCTTATGCTGTGTTTGGTTAGGAGGTGAGGTTGTTGAAGGAAGTGAACTTTAAACTGAAGGGGAATTATTTTATTTATTATCTTCTTTTTTTGTGGAAAATTTGGACATATAAATCTGACTTCAAAGCTCCTTCATTTCAAAATATGATCTTCCAAAAGTGATTTAAAATCATTCCCAGTCAACAAGCTCTGACTTACCATGACTGGCAGCTAAGACCCTATTGTCTGTGTACTTGGATTATAAATACATAGACTCAACATTTCCTCCTCCTATGGAGTCAGGTCTCATGTGCTCTTGTTTTAGGCAATAGTTTTACCCTTCTCATGAAATGTCAAGTTGAAATGTCTGTACAGCTTAGTAGTTCCATCCTCATTTGAGAACTAATATTCCTATATTCAGGCATCAATTGTTTCCATGGAAGCTTTCCTTAGGTTTATTTCAGCTAGGGTATACTTAATTATAAATGAACCTCTTTTCATTTAGCTATGGCATGGCCATATGTCTTAATCACTGTTCTATTGATATGAAGAGACATTGTGATCAAGGCAACTTAAAGAAGAAATCATTTAATTGGAAGTTTATTTACAGTTTCAGAGGGTTAGTTAATTATCGTCTTAGCAGCATGCAAGCAGGCAGGGTGCAGACAGAGAGAGAGAGAGAGAGAGAGAGAGAGAGAGAGAGAGAGAGAGAGAGAGAGAGGGAGGGAGGGAGGGAGGGAGGGAGGGGGGAGGGAGGGAGGAGGGAGGGAGGAGAGAGAGAGAGAGAGAGAGAGAGAGAGAGAGAGAGAGAGAGAGAGAGAGAGAGAGAGAGAGAGAGAGAACAAACTAGCTGGGCCAGTACAGGAACTGAGATTAATAAATTCTTGTGACATCAGATACTGAGGGGACCAGAAAGTTCTGGAGAGTTGGCCCTTGATATTTTGGACATTAGAAATGGATATTTTTATGAGTAGGACATGCCATTTTAGCATGGGCTCTTCTGGGCTGGATTTATAGACATAGAAACAAGAGGGTTCAGCTCATGAGTGTGATGGGTTATAATGTTCTTTCAAGACGGCTGAAACTTGTGAAACCTTTTTATTAGAACAAGTAGTGAAGAAGTATACAGAAAGAGAGCTTGGAGATTTCTTTTTCAGCAGGGGGTTGGAGAAGTATAGGGTGGAATCCCACAATTTCCAGAGAATTTGAAATTTTTGCAGTAACATATTCCTTTGTTAAAATACTTCACTTAGGTTATGAAAACCAATGCTCACTGAAAGCTCAAAATTATCAACCAAGAGGGTAAAATGGACCCATGTATGGGTGACCCAAGGTAGAACTTTAATTTGATAATATGAAAATAAAATAAAAAGTGGGACAAATTATGGGGATGATAACTACTTGGAAGGACAATCTAAATAAGGTGAACACACTGGCCTGCAGTTCTACTCAGGGACAGACTTAGGGCATCAGACCCTGAAGCTGACAGTAGAGTATAGCAGCTCGTGTAAGTGACCCATCAGTGAGCAGAAAATCTAAGGACATCACAGACTAGCAGAATAATGAGTAATTGGACAAGTATTACTCTGAAGCATTCCTGTTCAGGCTCTCCATAAAAATGACACTGCTCAAATCCCTTTAGTATGAGAACAGATTTGCGTGTGCTTAATTGCTAACAAAGGTGATCAGACAATATTCCTGCCATTTTGTTATTTTTCTTTCCCATGGATGTTTATTTTCCAATCAACATTCACTTGAATGCTAAAAAGACATGACACATTTTAAAGACAGGTTTAGCAACTGAGAAAACAGTCCATTAATAACTTACAGATGACTCAAGAGCTTTAAAACCTCATCAGAACTTCATTGGGTTTATGAGTACATTAAATACTTAACAATGAAGAAATATTGCAAACTTTAAATTAAAGCATAAATAATATAAAGCAGATGTTTGTCCTAATGTGGCCCTCTTTGGACCTCTGTGTCAGTCAGCTTTGCATTACTGTTACAAAATACCCAAGGGAAACAATGCAAAGAGAGAAGCTTACTTTGGCACAGTTTTAAGGAAGTCAGTCAATGGTCCGTGGCCCTGCTGTTTTCATTCTGGTGGCAAAGCAACACATCATGCTGGGAATGACTAGGGCATCAAAAAGAGATTAGAAATGATCAGAGCTCCCTAGTCCACCATCAGGCCATGACCCTAGTGGCCTTGAACCTCCCATTAACTACCATCTCAGTTTTTTCACCACTTCCTAACAGTGATTGGAGACTGATCCTTGAACTTGTGAGTCTTCAGGAGATACTTATCCAAACCATCAGAACCCTGAATAATAAACGTATTATTGAGTATGAAACCAATGGTGCTTGAGTCCTTAAATACTACAGCAGCATGATTTCCCTGAATAAGACCAGAATGGTTAACTAGCTGGGGTAGTAGTTGTGTGTGGCACTCATATTTTTGTTTTGTCTGGGGAAATATTTGAACATAAACTATAATACTTTTAAAAGAAAAGAGGATGTGGAATGGCAGTGAAGTTTCAATATGTAATACAGAAAATTAAATATCCCCAAAACAGCAAAGTTTTTGATGTCAGAAAGTTGAGGAACCTGAACTACCAAAAAAGAGTCCTTTTTTTCTTCTAAATTTAACACATTTATGTGAAAGCCACCTCTTAAACACATTTTACAATGCCAAATCTGAAATTTTCTACAATTTTAAAGTCTGACTCTATTGTTCATGATAAGTAAACTATATAATATTCTGTTTAGGAATAAATTTCTACAAATTATTGTCTATTATAACCCATGAATATTTTTGTTTTAAGAGATTTTTCGAGTTTGAGTAGGTGACTAAATCAAAAGACCCATGAATATATGTTATTAAAATGTCTATGTGATTATTTTCACA